TCAGAACCTGTTACTAATCGAATTATCGTATTAGTTCAATCATGAAACACCAGTGGAAGTGATCATAATTGCCGCTCTGGTTGTAAACTACATGGCGTGAATAAATGCTTGGTGTGCCCATAGACCCTCCAGTAAACTGGAGGGTCTATGGTGTGCCAACCTGTTAATAAGATTATACAAAAATGTCTTCTTATTCTGCTATCTGTGAAATACAGAGATAGTACATAGTTGAGAATTGACTAAGGAGGAGGGAGGTTTAGCTAAAGATAAAAAAAAATGGTTTAACTTTTTTACATAGGGTGATTCACCAGCCATTATAGCTCCACCTCCTCCTTTAAGGCACGTTTGTTTTTTTGTCAACAAGACGCCACACTCCGGCCGCACTCCACCCATGCAAGTGGTTATCTATTGTTATATGTCTATTGATTCACAAACACTCGGGTGTCATTGTCATCGTTGCGTCCTTGCAACCGACGTACAAAGGAGCGGTTTTTAACAAAAGAAATATTTCACCAACAGGTAAAAAACAACAATGATTAAGCTTGAAATGGAACACTTTTGGTAACCATGGTATTAGGGTATTGTCTCTCGGGTGTAAAATGATAGGGGGGTGTTGGCTTTTCTGATAGTGCAGCTAGATTATTTGCTTCATATGTTTTTTTGTTGCTCTCACATGATATTCGTTTGCTTGTCACCACTTTTTTAATGCATTTATTGCGCAGACTGCGTGACACCCCAATCCACACCCCAATCCGAAATGATGTTAACCTTCAAATATTATGATGTTAAACAACTTTCAATAATTCATGATGAATAAAACTTGTAATACTTTTCTCTTTAAAACTTCACCACAGATAAAAGTTTATTGCAGAAGAAGACAACATTAGAAAGAGTCTTGACGTAGCTGGTCTTCACTCGTGCATGCAAAGCCACACGTCAAAAGAAAAAACAAGGTCAACATAGTCTGGGTCCGTGGAAATAAAGAATTTTGTTGCTAAATGCATTTATCATTGATTAGATAAAGCTCAGGTCATATAGGTTTTATTTCTTGTACCATTAGTTATATCACGTTGTTGACTTTACAAAGTACAGAGTGTTGCAGTTTATTTGGTAACATCACTAATTAATGACAGTCCATTACCTCAATTCATCATAATCAACTGTCCAGGGAGAAAACAAAATTTAAAACACTCCTTCTCATTGGTTGGAACTGCCTGGACACTCAGAGAATGGCAAATCAGAATGTTGGGGGCTGAATAGCAGATTGAAAGATATCATAGCAAATATACAGTCTCATACCTTTCTAAGGTCGTGTTTAAGGGTGCATCATGGGATATTTGGAAGTTTGGAAGTGGGGTGGCTCACTGGGGTGTATTTTTAGAGTAAATACGACAACTGAAATTGTATTGCTAGAGCCGACCCTCCACTCCACTCCCCAGTTATGAAATGACTTTTCCCTTATTCAGTTATACAACCAACTATATAAGCAGTACATGTGCTGATTAATTCATGTCTTGTGTGGCACTAGACCAAGGATTCTCAAATAATACATGCACAGCCACACTGGGTTGGATTAAGCATGCAGGTAAGCTGATCACTGCGATGCCTTGGGGGGTTAAGAGTCTATTGAAAAAAACTCTACATATAGGACTGCCTTGAATGATGCTCTGATATACCATTGTGGTCCTTGATGGAGGGCTGTCTGTCACGCACTGGAAGACTAATAGCAAAGAAACAAACAATCCAAAAGTATTTTTGGTCTTGGAGTCTGGATACAATGTAAATGGTACTTTTGTAGTACCGCAAGGTCATTTTTGTCTGTCCAAACAGACGTCTATTGCCAGTGTAATTGCTGGGGCAACCCAATATTTTGCTCAAAGTGCATTTTAGAGTCTGGAAGTATTGTCTTGAGGTAGAATCATTTGAGCTATGTTAGAGTTGGCCCTCAAACCATGTTTTATCAGAGAGCTTTGATTTTAAAAATTATAAACAATTATACCTTTTTTACAATTTAAAAAATGTAGAATTGTTTTGTTTTCAACAGTATTTGAACTGCATGTAAACATTTTTTATAGGTATCGAATATGATACTATGAAGATGCAATTTCTTTTGGCAAAAACTTATTATGGAATAGGAACATTGATGTACTGTAAAATGATTAAATTTTCACTGGGTTTAAATTTCGCTGATTTTCCATTTCAGGCATATTCAGTGAGTTTTCACGGTTTTATCATTTAGATAATGTGTTCTATGCTAAATTTTACATATTCACTGGGTTTTAATTTAGCGCATTTTCCAGTCGGCGAAATAAGCAAAATTAAAACCCAGTGAATAATTAATCCTTTTACAGTATATACAGTGAAGTGGGGTTTCATGGGCACGGCAATCACACACTCAGATACTATACAACAAAACAATTCATTTTGAAAATAATTAAAGTCGTTTTAATTTGGCAAATATGTACATTATTATTTTATCGTATCGCACACGTTTGGTACGATCCAAGGAAATAAAGAAAAGGAAAAAAGTAGAAAAAGCCCTGAAAAGTTGTGAACAAAGTTGGTAATTTCAGACAAAACATGGAAAATAACAGATTGACAATGAACAGTTTTTCATGCATTAAACTTGCAACACATCAAACAAATCAGTTGAATTTAACAATGTGGAAGTCTTTAAAAAGATGACCACTCTTAATTAAAGGGCGGTAGTCGTTGTGTCGCGTCCTGTTCGATATGGGACTCATAGCGACATATACAACGTGTGTAAAATGCATTGTTTATTTACATGAAATTCGAACACGCGCTGCGCGACGACCGCCGCGCTTCAATGTTGCTCTGAACACAAAGATGAAGGAAAACCAAGCAAGTTTTATCCAGTGTTATTAAAAGTTTTCTTAGATAGCTTTTTTTTTTTATTAGAAACCTATACACCGTTTTTGTGGAACCTCAAACCACCAAGTTCAATTCTATGACACATGTCTTTAAGGTCACACAAGCTAAATATTAACCACAATGAATGAATCAATATAATGTGATAAAAAATAGATAAGCTTTCAGCCAAAGATTGGAATGCAACGCTTTCAGCCAAAGATTGGAATGCAACAACAGTCAAACATAGCTGACCTGCAGGTACTCGGCAAACACTTGAAACAAGCGTTGCATCACACCTACGGTGACGACTGAGTGAATGGTACAGACAATCGGCAGATTAATTTAACATTGTTCCCGTCATACTGGTCACATAAAAATCCAGGAGATGATACATGCTTGTCTTGGTTTTCCCCTCATCTCAACGATGATGAGCATTTTTATTTTAAGGGGTGGACCATTTAGATTCAGACTTGGAAGATAAAGAAAGTGTTTTAACTGCACAAGATTTTCAATCTGTCTACCCCTTAAACACAAACTGGAAGTTGAACATGAAAAAACAAATGCAACAGAAAGAACAATTTTTTCTGCATTCTGCAAGTTCCTCGCCAGAAAACTTTACTATTTACAATATGGCATAGAAACTTGCATAAATGTGCATATTAACACAGATTTAGTTTTTGAACAAAAAAACTAAAACATTTTTGATTTTGTATTAAAAAAATAGAATCAAAATTATTACATGAATTACTGGCAGTGATAGAAGAAGGAACACGATTGGTAAATATAAAACCAGAAATGTTTTTCAGTTAAAAAAACTCTGGATCTAGAATATAGATTTGTTTTTAACAATAGACGTGATTAAAGAAGAATAAAACTATTTAACAAGAACAAGAACATTAACATCGCCTCCATAGCATATTGCACTCATAAGTTATTGCAACAGTGTATCTTAGACTGTTACAATGTAGCTTAGATCACTTGTTAAGAACTGGGAAAACCTGTTACCCAGTTTTCCCATGCTAATACTCTCATCATATCAGCTACAAAGAAACCCCCCTGTCTAAAAAAAATATCAGAAACTCCAATTATCCGTCAAAAACGTGCATAATTGTGTGCCTGTCATAGACTCCTATCCCCAATTAGTGTTAACAATCTTGGAACACCGGAAGTTTTAAAGAAAGTGTCAGAAATAGTACTATTGGTCATTAATAAAGATACCATAATTGGTTGTTATGGATTTGCTTGTTATAACATGATGTAAACTTGTACCCAAGTCATGGAAACCACTTGCCAACCACAGTTGGAGACAACAAATCACAACAAACTGACCTTGAATCTGTATCCCCTGTGGGTTAGCAGTAAGGTAGTCATAATAATTAAGTCTGTTTTAATGAGACATTGTTTCTAAAAGCAGAAACTCCAATTATACTGTTTTTTTTTTCTAGCTTCTAGAGAGCATGGGGATGTATATGAATATCACACAGAGCCTGTGATGTGATAACAACTCCACTGGTGGTGGTGTTTTTTTTCTTTTTCTTCTTCTGAGCTAATGTTTGTCAGATTAGACTAAACTTGTATTCTTCCAAGTGGGAATGTGGAAATAAAGAATGATATTTATCAAAAAATCCACCAGTTCAGTGTGTTTTTGATGAAAGAACACAAACAATAATCCTTGAATTATTTAATTAACTATTTTCCTCTTTTCTTTGAACTATAAACAATCAAATGAACAACATAGGTTTTTGCTTTGTGTACAAAATGTCTTTGCAATGTCAATGTCCCCAACATTACTTGAATGACATCACTTCCTTGACAACAGGTTTTTTTGCATGAAAGTATATGACATCACTTTCTGTGGCAAGCATCCAATTACAGTGACATCATTGCAGGTGCAACTTCTCAAAGTACCATTAAAGTGGTTATAGCAAGTACAATGGCTCCTTAATCATATTGGACAACAAAAAATGGAATAAAATTTAGGAAATGGCAGTGTTGTCATGGTATTTGAAGAGTCTGTGCGTCTCTCTCACTTTCTTTCTTAGTTTTCTGGAGAGTTAATAACATCACTCATATCAC